AATATTTAATCTTTGTTTCGGTGATTCATCAAAATTCGTATATACTCAATTCTGAATAGAAAAGCGCCACCAACCCGAAAGACTGTACATTATCAGGAAACTTGACCTACCACCTGGTGGTAATAAGATTCTCTAAGATTTTCACACTCACAGTCACGTTCAGTCGTACAGGTAAATATTTTATTTCTTTAAAATGTTCAAAGTTACTTGGCTTTCATAAAACTAGAAAACGAAAGGTGAAATACAAATTCTACATGTATTTGCGTTAACTCCTCTCACACGTTTTTCGTAGTCATCCAACGCGTGTAAGAAAATCATTATTTGTGTACCCACCTTTTCGAAACAAACACTACATAATTTCAAACAAACTTTATTTAACGAAAGCAAAGCACCTGTCAGGTATTTGTGACCGAAGTTTAATATTTATTGAGAGATGAAACTCTGTATCCCATAATATGTTTATTTTCTAGGCTTATATTTACAGAACACGTGTACTTATTTCCAATACAACAAAAGTAACAGGTTCTAAAGTATAAGACATAATTAAATAGCAAACATATAATTTAGGAACGGATAAAAAAAAATTGTGCACGAGGCAGGAATGAAAACTAGTATTTAAATTAACTTGGTCTCATAGCAATTCTTACCGCTAAGCGGCGTCATTTCATCATACACACAATAATAGCTATACTTTTATTGTAGGTCTTGTTAGCGTCCTACTAAAACAAAAAATTCACTGTATTATATCCAGTGATTTTCAGAGTCGTAGAATAATAAGCTAATTTATACAAGAAAATAATCTTTTTTACATAAATTTATTTACATAACTTAACGCTCGCACTTTATATTAAGAGGTGTATTTTACACAATACAGAATGGACCAAAAGAACGTATCAAATGAAAAGCCTCCATTATCTGTGGCCATGTTAAAACCAAGCAGGTAGAGTTGGGGGGGGGGGCGAAAAAGAATCGTCACTTGAATATTAAAAACGAGGTTGAACAGCAGTAAATTTACGGACTTACAATGCTAGAATCCGGGGTTCGATTCCCCGCGATGGACACAGCGGATAGCTCAATGTCACTTTGCTCTAAAGTAAACAAACTAACCAACAAATTGAATGTAAAGTTTGTAGCAACGAAAATAGATCTCTCGCATAACCACGTTTTTGTTTTCTTCTTGATATATGTATATATATATTTTTTGGATAATGGAATTCTTCCATCTTAACACATTCACTGCCACCAGCAGTATTAATCATTTCTACCCTAGTGCCAAACACACGTTTCTTTTTTTCTTAACCCAGGTATCTAATGTTTATATGGGTAATTAGATCATTCAAGCTACTTTTAATGTGAACCACCGGTGTGTCACGCGGTCCATAACTAAAAGTTGGTTATGACCCACCGGTGGGGCACATGGCTGCAAACGTGTTAAACCCTGTTTGTATGTTTTTTGTTTTTTGTTTTTTTTTGGCTGACCCTATAATTTAAAATGGACATTACCGGACGGTCCGAAACTCTAATATCAGAATAAAAAAAAGTCCTTGTCAGTATCCTTGCATTGTATCAAATTGAGAGCACCACAGCCAAACTTACTCCAAGTTAAACTAAAACTGTTCCGGTCCGAAACTCTAATATCAGATAAAAAAAAAATCCTTGTCAGTATCCTTGCATTGTATCAAATTGAGAGCACCACAGCCAAACTTACTCCAAGTTAAACTAAAACTGTTTTCTCGATCCAAATATACCTACTCATACCAATAGTTTTAACAATAACAACATGCGACGTTTTTCAATTGAACACTTTTTAATGTTTTTTAATACACAAAAGCCGTTTAAACTTACGTTAAAAAAAACAAGCTTTTATCACATACAAAATTACAATCTACAACGATTGCTTTATTTTGTTCTATCATGACCAGTAATAAACAAGACCTGACTTCGCCCAGTTATTTACATGACCTTAATGTATTTAGCGCCATACGAGTTTTGGTCGAAATATAAAGCATTAATGATCATCTCATACCACAGACTAACTAAGCCTACAAGGAAGTCCCGTATTATATATATATTATGTGGCAGAAACCAACTTCGTTCTACCTGGCTTTGTCCAGACGTACAAGCTTACCATAGTTAAGTCATCTGTTGCTCTTTTCACCGGCTAGTCTGGTTTCGAGCACGTGCTTCTAGTTTTGAAACTTGTGTATTCAACAACAAGTTTTTCTATTTCCTAGCGACAAGTGACAGTAGCATATTTTTATAACCATGGCAACGTAATAAAACTCGTGTGCTGAAAATTGTTGGATGTGTTTTTTTTTACTTATATCCAACTTTATAAAATACACTTTTATAGTGAATGAACAAAGTAGACAAATGTGTGTATTATGAAAGGCACGTGTTAGGTTTTACGCGTAACATGTTTAGGGCTTGGGTTGGTTGGTTTGTTTTGAATTTTGCGCAAAGCTACACGAGGGCTATCTGCGCTAGCCGTCCCTAATTTAGCAGTGTAAGACTAGAGAGAAGGCAGCTAGTCATCACCACCACCCACCGCCAACTCTTGGGCTACCCTTTTACCAACGAATAGTGGGATTGACCGTCACGTTATAACGCTCCCACGGCTGAAAGGGCGAGCACGTTTGTAGGGCTTGGAGGGTAGAAAGTCGAAAATACGACTTTTCAGTGGTATAGGAAGGGGTTCCAAAGTGGGGTGCTTGGCTAGACATGCAGATTTTACAATGAGAGATTGAAAGTATAAGCCCCCCAGAAAATTTACAGTTTCTATATAAGTCAAATATGTAAAAGTAGAGATGTAACAGCACCCCCCCCCCCCCAGTTTCGACGCCTCTGCTTTTGTATGCGTTTTTTTTTTTTAAGTTACAAGGAAATATCAAACAAAAAAATTCCCTGAAATTGTCATTTCGCTCAGAAAGGTCATTATCGTGTTTAAAATATTTTAAATAACTAAGTGATAAAAATCAATTGATAATCATATAAAAAAAGAATAACTTATATTTTAAAATATCAATGAATAACCACTTGAAACAGATAAATCGTTTATGCTTTAAAAAGATCAATCGACAACCTACTATAACAGAAAACTGACTACGTATTAATTAAAAGATCTATGAACAATCACGCAATCGAAGATAAAACTGCTTACAGCTTGACGAACAAGCTGATTCGCCATTGTGTTGGCCCACACCTTTATCGGGGCATATCAATAACCAACACAAAGATTGACGAAGTAATATGTTTTGTTGGCAAATGAAATTATTTAGAAGTATCAGGTGTAAAAACAGAGAAACAAAAAAAAAACACTTCGTTTCTGTAACATTTTCTTTAGTCTGTAGCACATAGTGTAACACACGAGTTCACGGGTACCTTATACCCTAGAATATAAGAGGTTTTGCAGAAAATAGTAATTTGCTTCGTGAACATCGTGTTTTTTTTTTTTGCTTATAATATAAACCACTAGATGGCAGTAGTATAAATGCTGACGCGTAATCGCACACACACAGAAACTTGACTATGTATATACATATATATACTTTACCAAGTCGTCAAATACGTCACATGAAATTTCAATTCAATTGGCTGTTTTCAACTCCAAAATCAAGACATTTTGTAGTTATACCCACGTGCTCCATATTATATATATATATATACACAGACAGACAGACAGAGAAATAAATGCTTATTAAGTAAGTTTCTTGTATCATTCTCAACAGCTTGCAGGCTATACTAAGATGAAAATAAATAAGTATTTTTTTTTATACTTTAGATTAATAACAGCGTATAGAGACTCCCCGATAAAAAAATATGTTTCTTCTTCAGTCAATTCAAGAAAATACTTTTAGACGTACACCTTGCAACAGGGAAGTTTCTTCATCCAAGAATAAAATCCGAAACCGTTCCGAGTTTAAAGCTCGAAAAAGTTTATTAAAAAAAAAAAAAAATCACATCACAGACATAGCGCTTTCCATCAAAGGCAACTACAGTTTAACAAATGGTCTTTGTTTGTTTGTTTTCCTATCTCGTCAGTCTCTTTAAATTCCTGAGCAATCAATCTCCACGATTTCTTTTGGTACATCCACAAACTGGTACACTAGCCTCTGTCCATCGACTTTAGCCAGAATTCCTCGTTGATAGTAATACCTTTAAAATGAAGAAGAAGACACGGAAATTTAACTTTCATCAGACTGTACTAGTTACAGTAAAATGTATCGTTCTTTACGTTATATGTTAAGAGAGAGAGAGAAAACAATATGATAAGTGAAAAGAGACTCGGGGGGTTTCTCGGTGAATGAACAGCGAAAATTATGTGCTCTGTTTTATATTACGTCCCCGAGAAAATAAAAATGACGACAGAATATTTATATGACTGAGTTTGTCTCCTTCTTACGATATCGAACACTTGGAAATAGAAACTGAAACCCCCCAAAAAAAAACACTAAATTTATTGCTGAGAGATTGTAGATGGTGTCGTAGTTCAAAACAACCAGGTCAGCCTCACATCTTTTGATCTTGATGTAATTAGACATGCACACCCAAGTTAGCTAATATTCATGAAGCCACCACCCAACGATGGCTTAGTGGTAAGTTTTCGTTCGTTTGTTGTTCAGCGCAAAGCTACATAAAGTTTTAGTGTTATAAGTCCACAGAATTACCGCTGATCCACTGGGGAAAGGGGGCTTAAAAGTTTGTTGAGCACAAATCCACACAAAATGATCCACCCATGCTGTCCCCACCAAAGGTATCGAAACCCGGGTTTTTAACGTTATAAGCCTTCAGACTTACCACTGCGTCACTGGGGGCATAATGGTAAGCTCGAGGGCTTATAACATGCACTGGGAACAACAAAGACATTTAGTAAAACAGTAATAACCACGAAATTATCAAATCTTTGTTTTTTAAACTGGCAAATCCTAGTTAATTTGATAGAAAACTACAATTATATGCCATAACAAACACGTGAATCGTCTTATTAAAAAGATACGAACCTCAAAGCTCGGCCCATTGTTTCATAATTCATGTCAGGTTTGTTTTTGTGAAGTCCCCAGAGCCTTGAAACTGCCTTGGAATCGACGAGTTTGAAAACCCCCTTTTCTCTGTTTGCCCATTTAATGTAGCGGGGGCAGTAGTTTCTGTCTTGAAGTAACTTTAGTAGAAATTCCCATAGGTAGGTGGTTGAACCTGCGAAAGAAAAGAATAATAAGTGAGCATGTTCAAAAACGGGAATAAAAAACACAATTAACCAGCGACGTTAAACTCGTTAACAGAAGAAACTCGTGAATATCTTACCTTGTTCAAAATTAAATAAGATTCAATAAAACAACGTCTAGTTGGACATTCAAACAAACATTTAGCGGGGCCAAAAACATACCTTGTGTTCGGTTTTTATTCTAGCAATGTTCTTGTTGTTAGCACAAAACAGCACAATAGGAAGGGTTTCGTTAATTCTAGTAATGTTATTATTGTTAGCACAAAACAGCACAATAGGAAAGGTTTAATTAATTCTAGCAATGTTCTTGTTTTTAGCACAAAACTAAACGATGTGGGAAAAGGTTTCGTTAATGCTAGAAACGTTCTTGTTTTTAGCACAAAAAAACACAATAGGAAGGGTTTCGTTAATTCTAGCAATGTTCTTGTTTTTAGCACAAAACTAAACGATGGGGGAAAAGGTTTCGTTAATGCTAGAAACGTTCTTGTTTTTAGCACAAAACTACACTTCTACTTCCAGAACAGTATCTTTGTACATTTACCTCAACATCATTAAACTACTTACAAGTAAAAACTTGAATTTGGAAGTAATCCGACTTTATTATTTTTCTTAAAATAATCCGAAACGTCAAAAAAAAAAAAAAGGAAGAAGAAAAAAAACCTAATGTACAAAACTATTTAACGTTATAGAAGAATTTAGGTAACAAAATATTTTTATATCAACAAAAACTGATACTTGTAACGCAATAAGGAAATTGCAACATATCTTTAATATTTACCTTCCCGACTTTTCCGCTTCGTACAAGATGTTGTGCTGCCATCTGGATTTTTCGATCTCCGTACTAATAAATGTAGAAAGAAAAATAAAAAATTATATATATATATATATAGAGAGAGAGAGAGAGATTTAGGCTGAAAAACTAATTTCTTATATAAGGTCATGACCTGAATAATGTTAATTTGAACTTTGACCTTCCCAGTACGACTTCATTTTACAAAATACTGAAGGATATGGTCTTTTAAAGGATATTGTCAAAATCAATACCAGGATAACGGTAGTTTGTTATTCAAATTTTATCTTACAAATATTGACAGCAAGATATTACTAACGTTATATTATTATTACATAAAGTCCTAACTCTAAGTACTAAACTGTGAAGGGTGGCGAAAATAACTTAGGTTAATAATTATAAGACAATGAACCAAAATGAACTTATTTCAGTAAAGAATTTTGAGCTAATTCAAAAACTGTTGAAGCATGATGTGTCCATGTCAGCAATCAAAAGGTAAAAGGTTATAAATTAGACATGTACGAAAGTAAAGGACTGATCACGATTCTTTAAGTCATGTCATATAATATGTCATCTGCATCTACTAAATAATAGCCCCCCCCCCTAGTTATTGTACGCTCACTGATATCACTCTGGATTGTTTCCAGTGGGGTAACTTCGGTTTCAAAATATTCAGGGGGGGGGTGTAGTTTTTGTAACAAGTTTACTCTTTCAAAAAAAATGAGCCTTTGAATAAAATGTGGGGACATGTCCCCCATGAAACTTATACTATAGCGCCATTTAATGATTTATTAAAACATAATTTCTTTCTAAATAATTTATATCTATCCACGTTTTTGTTCAGCAAATAATAATAATTTAATAAGTTGTGTGTTCCAAAAGAGTACCTTCAATTTAAGTTACAACTGTGTTAGTTTGGATTGTTGGAACTTATTTCATTCCGATTATATTTGCCACAAAAACGTTATGTAGTGTAAATATCTGTATAGACCGCATGCTATAGTAGCACCCTTATACCAATACTAGGGTTTCTAGCCCTCCGTACCTTTTTTCTTGGGTTTCGGCTGGAAAGACAGATCCTCTACGTAACAAGACGAGTCCAAGTCATCGCCCAGACAAGACGAGTCCAAGGAAACACTGCTGTTAGCTGCGGTAATAACGGAAGTTGGAATGGCTAATTGTCTTCCCGGAGACGACTGAAGTCCAGAGGAGTAGGAGGAAGAAGAGGGAGGTGTGTTTAAAGATTCCGAAGTGCAAAGGGAGTGTAGGTGGCTCGTGCTACTAACGTGGCCATGAGAAGGTGACTGTGGGGATGGAGGTCCTAAACGCTGCCTCAGATACTGAGGGGAGTGGGCGCCGGGACTGGGGGGATTCTGCTGGGAAACTGAATCAAGATAGCTGTGAGTTGGAGGTGGTGGTTTATAGTGGGGTTCTGAGTAGTGACGAGAAACGATCCCCGGATCTACGAGAAGAGAAAAGTGTAAGATTGTGGTTCATTGAATGTATGAAACTTGTAATAAAACAAAAACAACACATTATCATCAAACGAAAATACTATATAACACAGATACCATAAATATCCACACAGACGAAGCTACAAGATTGGCCATCTACGCCGTGCCCACCGCGGGACCGTTGAGCTACGTCGGGGGGGGGGGGGGGGGGGGGGGATAGATAGAACTTTATTGGTATAAACATCTATTTCAGGATGTTCCATATTTTCTTTGAAATATTGCAAATTAAAAACATTCACGCGCATTTCAGATATAGTTAGTTTTCACATACTTAAATAGTTATAGGCTATGTTGTAACTGGCGCCTAAAAAGGCCCGAACTAAAGGGTTATTGAAGCATGTCGGTCTAAGCCATTATTTAAAAAAAACGACTACATTTTTTTAAGGTGTATTTCACTATCTAACGACTTTAGAACGTTAGCAGGAAGAGAAGACAAAGGAATATGAAATCGGAATAAATATATAAATTCTGTACGTGCACTTTGACTGTGAAATTAATATTTTTGTGAGCAAGCGAATCAGATAGTATCTCTTTCTGCCCACAGAGGGTCTACGTCATGCAAGCTGGAGTTCGGGTTCAGCGATCCCGTTGCCTAGCAACTACTTTCAGTTTTCACCATATCTTGACCTTGAAAATCTCTTCAACTAACAAACTTCAAGAATCGCATTTCATAAACTAGAATTATCTTGCACCGTGTTCATGGATTATTTTTGTTTGTTTGTTTCAGTTAGCCTCAAAAAGGCTGCTGGTTGGCTGCTGAGAAGGGGAAAAGAGGGGAGGAGACTTCCGGTTTCAAGGTTGATGACTGTACAGCGCCTCCTATATATTTAAATATCTTGTTCCTTGCATAAAACAGTTATTATCTTTTGTTATTCATAAACTAAATATCCGCCTGGAAATTCTGTGACTCTGACAGAAATTAATATACGTTATAAACTAATTAATAACATAGTATTAAACCGAAACGTACGACAGTGAACACCCTTCCAGTGTCTGTCTGTATGCTGCCAGACAAATGAAAAAATATTTTCAAAATATTTTAACAATTTTCTTAATGTTTATTTTTAATTTACAACTTTAATCACGTGTTAATAAAAAAAAATCAGTACAAGAAGCAGGATTATGACATTCATACGAAATTACTAATTCCTTTCCTTGAACAAAAATACTTACTGAATTTTAAGAATTACGTTTTTATTGAAATATAGGAACTGTGTGATAAGTTTGGTACATTATGTTTAACGATCAAAAACTTATTAACCACATTACAAGTAAACCTACAAATGTCCGATTTTAGTAGTTTCTAACACGGAAGCAACAAACGAAAAATAGCAGACTTTGTTTCAAGGCAAACAAAAGCAGTAGTGAATATGTTGACCACTAGATGGCGATGTTCTGAAGTGTACGACTATAACGGTAACCTTGAAAGTGTATTGACTTCGTACCAGCTATCTTAAGACCTTACGCTGACGACAAACGGCTCCCTCTGTGCGGCAAGCAGGTGTACTAAATGTTTCGTGGTATTTCAGGTATATTTTCTGTGACGGAAAGGGGAAGAAAAAAAAACAAGCACGGTGCGTGCGTGATTTGACTGATCAGCAGAGTTTAAAAGGAACTAGCATTATGCCAGCTAACGTAAGTGTTCCCAGATGATTAAAAGCGGAAATACAGGAAGACATACATGATACAGAAAGTTAAAATTCCAACAATGTTCTTAGTTGATTAAAAGCGGAAATATGGGAGGGAATGATACAAAAAAGTGAACATTTCAATACTTGGAATTTGCTTTGGGGGAATTGCAACGATGTGATAAAATGTACACGTTAAAACTACGGTGGCTGGTTTTTGATTGAGTTATAGGTGGATTTTCACACGATTTTACATTCAACACAAAAATTCCATAGTTACAAAGTAAACATTATAGTACTTATATCATAAAGTATGCCGAGCTAAAAGTAAGTGTCACATTAAAAAACAAATGATACCCTTGTTACCACTGGAGCGTGGTCATGGGGAACGCGTAAAATTTCAGAACCTGCTAACAAAATGAAGGAATATGCAAACGTGATATCTAAGCACCAAGTTTATTACGGGGGGCTCTTGCTCCCCCAGATATAGCATGGTTGACATATTGTTATGCATTCTTCTTCACTTTCACTGTTTTTAAGTTTTTAGAATTGCTAATACAGTCTTTTTCCCATCGATGCTGTGGTTCCTTGACCAATTGAATGAACAATTACAGTCTTTTTCCCATCGATGCTGTGGTTCCTTGACCAACTGAATGAACAATTACAGTCTTTTTCCCATCGATGCTGTGGTTCCTTGACCAACTGAATGAACAATTACAGTCTTTTGCCATCGATGCTGTGGTTCCTTGACCAACTGAATGAACATTACAGTGTTTTCCCATCGATGCTATGGTTCCTTGACCAACTGAATGAACAATTACAGTCTTTTTCCCATCGATGCTGT